TCCAAAAGTGTCCACAATTTTGGCCACCACTGTACATCAAAGAGTGACAAAAGTATCTTATCGGTTGAAAAATAGCTTCAATAATTACTTTAGCGTCAGTTCTTGGATTTGCCACCCCTGCATTACTTTAAAGAAGGGTACAAAATATTTGCTGCCATACGATTTCCAGGTAATTATAATGAAGCTTAGTGAAATACCTAGAATTTTGTTCTTGCTTGTAACGAAAGAAACGCAGAATCTAACTTAAAACCGTTAATAAAATATACAATATTGTAGTTTAAAAATTCTCTCACATCAGTTTGAGGAAAAACATACCATATCCTGGCCACACGTCAGTGATATTCGTACTCCAGGCTTCCATATCGACGTCTTCTCTGGAAAGCCAAACGATTGTCTCTTGAAGTGTTGCTGGTAGAGGAAGGCGTCTGGCAAGAGGCCTAAAAATGCAGCAATGGTAGGCATAGGAAAGAGCCAATGTGTGCACTTTGGGAAATGTCTCAGGTGTAGGGAATTCTCGAAGGTTTTTATTATTGAAAGTTTTAAGTTGTCTGAGATTCTGCAGCCCTTCCGTCGGCAAGGTCGGAAATATATTCTCTCCCAAATTGCTGTGAAAGAAATTTGGCAAATTAGAAGTCAATCGGTATTATTCAGAAATATGAGGGGCTGTGTTGGGTAGGGTCAGAAAACAGCCTTTTATAGTGTAACAATTATTTATTAACAGGTTTAAGTTGCACACGGACATTACATCTAACTTTAAGGGGGCTCATGCACCTTAAACCCCTTATGATCTTCGAATATGTGACTGTTGCAAGAATTGGGATAATTTATTTATTTTAAAAGCAATTACTAAAAAACTTTTACAATGACTGCATATATAGCTGCTTTCTGAAAGTAACAAAGTGTCTATGCCAAAAATATTTTATAATTTAATCCGCTTTGGGACAAATTTTCCGTCATGTTCCAACTGCGGCACAATTTAACATTCTTTTCATATTTAATTCCATATTAATATATAGCTTTTATAACATTAGAAACGACTGTGACCTAAATTCTAAAATTTCATGTTAATTTTTATTTATTGAGTGGAGTTATAAAATGTATTTTGTAACATTCGTCCATAAAATTTTAATATTAAAAATTCTCAGATTTTGTTCATTTAGAATATAGTGCCATATAAAGATCCTCGAATTCAAGTATGTCCATTGCCATTTTAAATATCGTGCGCGCAATGGAAAACGGGCGAAATTTTTGTCACAAGATGATTAATTACAAAATATTTGTGGCAACACAAACTTCTGTTACTTAGGTTCCAAAGCCGCCATATTTTATCAGCTGCCAAAAGTTGGAGTAATGCTGTTAATCAATAAAATATCCCAGTTCTTGCAACAGTCACATATTCGAAGATCAGGAGGGGTTTAAGGTGTATGAGTCCCCTTAAGAAAATTACAGAGTAAGAGTTTGATACAACCTATCACGTTAAACACTTCGCATTTACTAAAGTTCTTTTATTGATACTCACCAGAGGGCACCCCTATTTTTACAGTTAGTTCAACAGTTAATATTAGCAGCAAACTTTATATTAAACGATTGGTTACAGAAATAAATATACCACATTATTGACGGCAGATATTCAATATTCCTGGATCTGATAATTTTTAATCTTTTAATACATTCGATGTGCGTTTAGAAACTTAAGACACGTTGAAAAAAAACGAAAATGATCAAGACAGTATTTTGAGCATCGTGTGAAGTATTTCCAGAAAACGTTGAAACAAATACCGCGAACGAACATTTTTACTGATAATGCCTTTAGATAATTACCCTCTTTTCCCCCTCTATAGGCGATCTGCTGAGTATTTTTTTTTTTTTTTGGCCCAATAATCTTTTATAAGCGTAGTGATGTGTATATTACGGAACAACTCATTTCTCTGAAACTATGGAATACACAAGAAAACCATAAAAGAAACAAATAACATATTGTAAAACAAATCGAAAATTGTGTTTCGTGGGAAAAAAAACAAAAATATCTAAATTAAAAAAGTTTCAAAAAATAAATAGTAAAGTTGTAAGGATCTTAAGTTTTACTAACGTTTATTTTATTTTAAATCTTTACTATCACTTCTTATTTTCTACTTCCGGCCAGAATTATAAGCGTTAAGGTTTTATGCAAAGTTTGTCTGGCGAACGCCAAGTATTTAAGTTGTGGCCTTTTTGCCAAGCGAGAGAGGAAGCAGTGAGTCGAAGCAGGCCGCTTACCTTAGAAGTTACGCAGTTGCTGTTTGCCTTCCAGGCCAGAGGTTTTAATCCTCTTGATAAATTTAAACGTATTGTAGTGTTCACAGTCTCTGTACTACATACGCTTCCTGTTAATATAAGGCCAATCTTCCACGTTTATTATTCTAAAGTTAAATTAGAGTTTAGTTTTATTTTTATACTTTTACGTTAGACCCCGAAGTAGGCGGGTCAGTTGTATTCCGAAGTACGGAAGTTATTGTATATAGAGAAAAATAAAGGGTTTTGTATACCCTTCGTCTGTATCCTGTCTACTTACCACAATTAGTGAACATAGCTTTAGTAAGCTCTCTGTTCCGAGTCAGGTCCTTGTATGTTCCCGAAGAAGGTATAAAGGAACATTGAACCTGATAGTGGCGCCCAACGAAGAAGAATAACCATGGCCGAGTTTCAAGAAGAACCTGTGCTGCCTGCAGAAACGGCTCAGAATCCAGAAATGCCAGCTGCCGCCCTGGAAGGATTTGGTTACATCGTCCAGACCATGCGCACTTCGATGAAACCCGAAGCAACATTTAATGGAAACTCACCGGTAACCAGTTTTTTGGAAAAATTGGATGACCACTTCATGCTCTACCCCGTGCACGAGTTTCAAAAAGTTACCTTAGCTACCAGCGCTTTGAGGGGCCAAGCGCTTAACTGGTTCAAATGTATAGGCAGAAGTCTCTTGGGTCAAGCAGGAAGTCCCACCTATACTTACGAAAATTTCAAGACTGCCCTACTAAAAGCCTTCCCTGTTGTAAGGGATCGTGCGAAATTAGAAACGGAACTTTTCAGTATATATCAACAAAGAATCGAAAACCTCTCGAGCTTTATTTTAAGAAAAATTCACGTTTTCAAACTCTTGTATGGAAACCGTCCGGATCCTGAAATAATTCAAGTGATTTTGCCGAGGTTACTGCCCCAAGTGCAAGACTTTATTGAATTAAGAAATCCGACTACACTGGAAAAGTTATTTGAGCTAGCAATCCAGTTTGAAAGTAGAAGAACGGCGGACGTCGAAAGAAGACGCCAATATCAACAGCGAAACCAATTTGGTGCGCCAAGACTACAGCAAACTCAAGCACACGGGCTACGGAAGAAAAAGCGAATCAGTGGGCAAGGAAACCCGAGCATTCAAAAACAGCCGGCGAACGCGAACGTCGACAGTTCAATAGCAACCCAGGAAAAAAGTCTCAAGGCCAGTGGAAAAAGAAGGAAAGCACGGAAAGGAAAAATAATTTAAACTAAAAAACGGATTTCTGCTGACGAGAGGGTGCGGAAAATCCGAAGGCCACGAAAACCCCTCTTCCTACAAGTCCTAAAGTTAAATACAGTAATGGTGAAAAATTTGACTCTTCCGAAGATTGAAGTCTTGGTGAATAATATCCATCCTGGAAACCGGCGCCGCACTCCTGGTGATACCCAGGCGCGCAGTTTGGATCCGGTGCAGTGTGTGGCAGAAGATTTTTTTTAGGAAGTATTTTCGCAAATACCGCATATATAATTCGGATAATACGACAGTGTTAGCGGCGCAAGGAAACAAGGAGAAAAATGTAAGTGCGTAGGTAAAGTACCTTGTATATCCGTATCAAGGACGAACAAGTAAAGGTGATGTTTTTGTAATCTGCAAGCACATTTAATTTTAGGAATAGATTTTCTTTCAGACGCACAAGCTACGCTGGATTTTAATGAAGCGTCCCTTAAGCTGACAATGAAACCAGTTCGTGAGAAAAGGCTGAACCGCCGATGTTAAATCTTGACCACCTGCCTAATGACGAGCAAGAAGAATCCGACAAGTGGTAAGTGAATTTGCTTCGTTATTTAGTGATATTCCAGGATTTACTCAGGTTACTAACCATAGTATTGACACCGGAGATGCAATGCCAGTTCGTCAAAAACCATACCGGTATGATAAGAATAAGGAAAAAATTATAGAATGGCATATTACCGATATGCTACGTAAAAAGATCATAACGCCCCATCTCAAGTAGTTATGCTAGCCCGGTGGTTTTATGTAAGAAAAATAATGACTATCCTTTGGAGCATCCAAAAAGGTGGAGATTCGCTATTGATTACCGTAAATTAAACTCCATAACTAAATATCCGGTATATCCGTTACCGATTATAGAAGAAATTCTTAAGGAACATAAAATCAACCAAATTTATGACGACTTTAGACTTAACGACTGGTTATTTTCAAATAGGGGTTAGGCCTGAGGACGTGCCTAAGACTGCTTTTATAACCAAGTCTGGCACTTATGCATTTTTGCGTATGCCGTTTGGCCTTTCAGGGGCCCCGGCAACATTTCAGCGATGCATGGACATTGTGTTAAGACCTGTTCTTGGAAAGTCCACATTTATCTATTTAGACGATATCATTATTACTAGTGATAATCTCGACCAACATGTACAGGATTTAAGACAGGTGTTTTCTTTATTAAATGAGGCCGGTCTAAAAGTTAATGTCGAAAAGTGCAAATTTGCAGCCCCTGAATTAAAATATTTAGGTTACAAAATATCTCAAAAAGGGATCGAGACAGATGAATCAAAAATAATCGCTGTACAAAAGTATCCGACTCCAAACACGGCAAAGAAGCTCTCTTCTTTTCTAGGACTTTGTTCATATTATAGGTCCTTTATAAAAGATTTTGCGGCTATCGCTGAGCCATTGTTAAAATTAAAAAGGAAAAAGGCAAGATTCTCGTGGACGGCCGAAGCCAATAGTGCTTTCGAAAAATTAAAACAAGCATTAACGCAAGCCCCTGTGTTGAAATTTCCTGAAAAGGATGAGAATTTAGAAATTTCAGCGGATGCTTCGGATTATGCGGTAGGAGCGGTACTTTCGCAAAATCAGCAGCCCGTGGCATTTTTTAGCCGAACTTTAAATCAAACACAAAGAAACTATTCCGCGACCGAGAGAGAGGGCACTTGCAGTTCTGTTAGCAGTGCAAAAGTTCCGAGTCTATTTTGGAAAGGCGCCGAATAACAGTGTACTTCTGATCATGCGGCGGTAACTAGATTGTACTCAGGAAAAATTTATCCCCAAGGTTAATAAGATGGGCACTCAAGCTGCAAGAATATAATCTGGTAATCAAGCATACCCCCGGAAAGGAAAATATCGTAGCAGATGCCCTATCAAGAATTAAAATAGATGAACAAGGTAATACCGTAAAGGTGGCAATGCTCACAGCATGTACAATAAATTCCCGAGAAACTGTAATAACCGAACTGGGTAAGGATCCTGAGTTTGGAAGCATTTATGAGTATTTGAAAGGATCCTGAAAATTTTAGCCACCAAGATATTGTGGCGATAAGAAATAGGGCGGCCCATTAC